GGGGTTCTAATTCTATGTATTCCTCCTCATCATCAAAATCTGTGTGTTCTTTTGAAAGAAATCCCTCAACATTCCCTAATTTCTTCTCATTTTCTTCAATGGCCTGAATGTTGTTTACAGGCTTAAAGTCTTCAAATTCATAATTGATATTGGAATGAATAATAAACGTTTCTTCATCACTTGATGACACATCACCTGAAATATTATTAGGTACTGGTTTTGCATCGGAAGAAGGTGAGGAGTGAGTTTCCGAAAATGATTCGATATCTTTGGAGAAATCATGATCCATTTCAGAAAGCTCGGTTTCAGGAGAATTTTCGTCTTCTCCTCCTTTGGCCAAGACTTCTTTAATACTCGAAGTTTCGGTTTTGGATAATTCCTTCTCTTGTTCTTCTTGTTGTTTGTCTAAGTCTTCTTCAATACTCAAAGTTTCGGTTTTGGATAATTCCTTCTGTTGCTCTTCTTCTTCTTCTTGTTTCTCTAAGACTTCTTTGATACTCGAAGTTTCAATTTCGGGTAATTCCTTCACTAGTTTCACATCCTCTGATTCTTCAACACCAACAGCTTCCTCTGCTTCTGAATTTGAAGAGAGAAAATCCTCCTCGGAAGAGAATTGGTTTTTGGGAATTTGGTAATCAGGAAAAATAGTACTAAACTCGTTGGAGCCCAAGTAGAGTTCTTGAACGGTGAAGCTCAGAGCTTTAGGCTCTTCCAAGAAGCCATTGATGTCCATTGAAGAAAAGAACTCATACTTGTTTGTTGTGTTTGTACCTGAGGAACTCTCCAAAACATCACAATCCTTACTAACTTCTTCGCTTTCATCATGATCATCTTTTGACCTGTTCTGGACATGAAAATCAACCTCTTTTTCTCCGAACACATCAATATCTGCACACTTAAGATCACCCTTGTTCTTCTCATCATTTGCCTCCAATCTGAAACAAAAATTAAGCCTAAATCACCACCAAAGAGAAGAAAAATGACCCAAATAACAGAAACAGTTAACAAACATACCTGAAAAGATATCTAGCAATGAAACCAAAAACAAAATATAAATAATCCCAAACAAAAACCCAGATGGAACCAACAACCCCAACCATATTTCCGTACGCAACCCTGTTTAAGAGACGCTTATGAAGCAAATCCAAATGGGTTTTGATGACGAGAAAGTTTCTGGTGCCCATCAATTCAATCAACTTCTGGGGTTAATTCTTTCTACTTCTTTCCTTTCTCAATCCTAAGCAAAGTTGTATTAGAATTTCTCAATCGAAATTCATTGGGGAAAATTGACGCTCCACTTGTGGACAGCGAAATTTGTGGTGTGATGCTGCGAGATTGAGGGAGGTGATTTAGCACAAAAGAATAATATGGTGCAACCAAAGAGAAGAAACAAAGAAAGCTACGTGTGACTGTCCGTGAAGAATATATATATGTGTGTGCGCGTGCATATATATATATATATAT